AACAATTGAAGAGGGAAAAACACTAGACTAATATGTCCATTGTACTGGTGTCTATATTTTAAAATTATAAAATAAAAGATAAACAATTTAAATATTAAATACCAAATAACCTATTGGATAAATGTAGGTATTATTAAATCAGCATGCAACACTACATAACCATTTAATGTAACTAACAGGAGGGTGAAGCATTATGGAACTATTTCTGCTAGGATATGAGCTATAAGAAACTAGAATTCAAGGGTTGGGGATTTAGCTCAGTGGCAGTGTCTCTGCCTCATAAGTGAAAGGTCCTGAGTTCCATCCCTGATACCAGAAGAAAAAACAAAGCTAAAGTATGAACTATACGCTATAATAAGCCTATGGAGATTATTGTGCATATTAACAAAAATGAAAGGTAGTACACAAGATTAAAATGTTCTAGTTTAGAGGGATTAGAGACTATTTTTTCTTTCTAAAATCTTTAATGTTAGTGTTCTCTTTATTGTTTAAAAGAACGAGTTAAGATGACACAGAACATTATTCTAGAAACATTTAGCTCTTGGAATGCAAGGATCCATGTAAGTGCGGTCCTGGGAGAGAAGGAGAGGTAGGGGGAGATGAAAAGATCATGTGCTTTAGTGGGAAAGTATCGTAGAGTACTTTTTTTTTTTAGTGTGTTCAGTACCCATAGAGCACTCTGTGTTAGTCCGGCAACTTTAACTTAAGGTACTGTGCGAACCTTTGGGCTTTGAGAACAGGAAGCCTCTCTACACACATATGAGCTAAAATCACCTTCATCATAAGGAAGTGTGCACTCTGAATAATTACATGCACTGAGCAACTCCAGCTGACCGGCTGCTGACTTGTAAGAGAAGTGCTAAAACTACATGACCAGGGAAATGGCAAGACATTTGGAAAGCACAGTTTAATTTCCAAGATTGCTTTCTGACTTGTGCTTTCTCTTTGCGCCATTACAGGCTCGCCTAAGAGATTTGATTAACTTGTTTCCTGTGAAAGGTTATTTAGCCCCTCAATCTCATTAAGTCACTTTCTGCACTTCAGTGCACCCGCCTTCTCCAGGTTATCAGTCAGGAAGAGTAAATGGAGACACCAGGATCAGATTTCTAAAGGAAGGAAAGTTAAAGCAAAGTTTGAAAGGGGTGACAGTCAGCAGCCCTGAGCTTAGGAACTCAATTAGACTGAAAGACAACTAACTGTCTCATTATCTCATTCTGAAATGATCTAAGTACATAAGAATCTAAAAGTCTTAAATAAACTTGTCCTATTGACTGTCTAGATGCCTGAATTTTTCTTCTCAAAAAAATTTTAAACACCCACTTTCATATGTATTTATTCAAAGTGCAAAGCAGCTGCAATAATTATGTTGTCAGATTCCGTCTGTTAATGAGGAGTCACCAGAGTAGATTTTGCATTTGTGAGGTTGCTGAAAGGAAGCAGCTCTACAGCTTTTTACTTTCCTCTTGTTCCCCGCTTTTTCCTTTTTCTAAATTGGGAAGGAGAGTCTGCCAGTCCTTGGCCAAATGTACCCATTCTCCCCCCCGCCCTCATCCCTCTCTTGCTTTCTCCCTCTCCTCTTCTCTGTCTCTCCCTTCCTACCCTTCTTTCTCTCAAACTATTGCTGCTTTGGAAGGACAAGGAAGCCAGAGGTGAAATCCCCAGCTTTTTGCGCCAATATCCCTAAGGCAAGTGGAGCCTTTTCCCTTAGAGACATCCCCAAGGTGGTTTGGGTTTGAGTTAACATCCTTTTCTTTTTTTCGTTCTGGGGATTGAACTCGGTACCTTGCACTTGCAGGGCCGGCATAGCACCACCGAGCTAAATCCCCAGCCGTGGGTTTGAATTGATTTGATAATCATCTGTAAAATGTACACACTGTTTATTTAAGCTTTTTAACTGTTTGTGCTATGATATGAGTAAAAAGAAAGTAAACTGCAAAAGCACATATCATAATGTCCTTGTAAAAATGTCTTATGCACATCAAGAGAACTTGATGTCTGCCCTTTGCAGCCCTGAAAAAATGTAATTCCAAGCCAAGGAAGTTGGGCCACAAGCTATCCATAGTACTCAAGAAGGCTGGGCCAACCCCATTGCAGGTTTATTTCTTCCATATGGGTGTAAGCAGCTTCCGGAAAACAATATCATTAAGGCATTTTATGCTTTTGGTGAACCAAACATAGAAGTGAAATTGTGAGACATTTTGAGCAACACAGGTTTATACAGATTGTTTCTTTCTTTCTTTTTCTTTCTTTCTTTTTCTCCCCCCACCCCCGCCCCAGTACCAGGAATCGAACTGAGGACCTTGCATTTGCCAGACAGGTGGCCTACATCCTACACCACTGAGCTACATCCCCTGGCCCCGTACAGATTGTAAGCCTTAGAAAGGAATGTCCAAGTGGCTGGGTGCCCTGAGCAAGGCTTGTGGGTGTGCTTTTGTGATGGTGTGACTTCTGCTCTTGCTACTTTCCCAGATGCTTGATGCTAAGATTTGTAACAATGGCTACTATTTATTGAAAACATACTGTGTACCAGGAACTACACAAGGTATTTTGCATAGATATGCTTTAAACTCACATCAATCTTCTAGGAAGTTTCATTTTCCCCATTCACAAATGGTAAAACTATTAACTTTTGGAGGACATGGTCCATCACTCTAGTTTAGTAAGCACTCAGGAGCAAGAGGCACTTGATAAATATGAGCATTTATGAAAATGCACACTGCCAGGGTGCTCAGCTAACCAAGTCCCTAACTGACAAATGATTTAATTTATGATTTTTTTTATTTTTTTGTTGGTGGGGATGATGTAGGACCTCCAAATAATATACAGGGCATATTATAACTCCCAATCTGTTCAATGTCTGATATGCCAAGTTTGTATTCTCTAAAATTAAAGAATAAGTTCTAGGAACAATGGAGGTTAAAATAGGAAATATTTATTAAGAAAAAGACAGGAATCTGTCTAAGAAAGACAGAAGGAGATCCAGAAAGTGGGTTGCCCATGAGCCCACTTCTCAAAGAAATTTTATAGAGCAAAATCATGAGATGGGCATAAGGTGGGATAAAGCTATGGTCAACTAATGAGATTATAAGTACAGACACTTTAGCACTATTGATCCATTGGGGAAGCAAGTCACACAGCAAGTGTGCATGGAAAGAAAAAGGACCTTTCCTGAAAGGGATGGATTAAGGTCTTGGTCTCCCATCCAGGTGATTGATGTGTATTTAAAACATCAGACATTATTGTTTACCCCTGGGGAAGTATGTGTAGTCATTTCATCTTTGTCTTGAGGTTTGGCCTTTAATGAATTTGTCTCCACCCAGCACCTGTGCTCTTATCTTCTTCACTGATTCCTTTGAGGACCTATCACTGTCTGATTGCCTATAATATTTCTAACTAACTTAGCTGACTATAATAGTATGAAAGACATACACGCATTCAGCAGAAACTTTATAATGGATCCCCTGTGCCCGAAGATTGCTCAGCTGTGGGTCTTTCACTGATCACACAGAACAAAAATATTCAGGAAAAAAATTCCAGTTGGACTAAACATATACTATTTTTTTCCATTATTCCTTAAACAATACAGTACAATAACCATGTACATAGCATGTGCATTATATTAGATATTATAGGTAACTACAGATGACTTAAAGTATATAGGAGGCACTGGGAGTGGTAGTACACACCTGTAATTCCATCACTGGGAAGGCTGAGGCAGGCAGACTGCCAGGAGCTCAAGGTCAGTTTAGACTGTATAGGGAGAACTTGTCTCAAAAAAACAAGAAAGAAAGAAAGTATACAGGAGGATGTGCATAAGATAAGTGCAGATACTATGCAATTTCATTTAAGGGACTTGAGCATACTTGGATTTTGGTATCTGAAGGGCTCCTTGAATCAAAGGACGACTATACTTTGAATTTTGAATGTCATTCTTATCTCAGGCCTATGACACTCTCTGTCCATGCTGGGCAGGAAGAGAGAGCCACAGCTCCTAGTCAACCAAGCAGTCATGAGGGGAAGCAGCTGATCCTCCTCAGTGTACTGAGGACTGTATTACTAAGCTCTGATATTTGCTAGGTTGGCTGCATTAAGTGCATTTCAAACTTAAATTCTTTCTTTTTCTTTCTTCCCTTTTCAGAGGTAAATATTTTGCCTAGGGACTTTGAATTTTTCAACTTTTAATGGATTTATTAGAACATAACCCCATACTAAGTCTAGGAGCATCTGTACATGAATCAGAAGTGAAATATGTATACACATATACACACATATATTTCAAACTAGGTTATTTTTTAATTTACAAAAGGTGTGCTTTAGAGTCGCTTTACATAGGATTGCTTAAAATACCTAAAAGGATTTTAGAATTTCCCAAATCATATCCAGCCCTGTATAATGCACATTGTCTCTCATCGTGGGGACTACACTCCCTTCACCATCGGCTCCAATCCCTTTTCCAACTTTATCTTCTCATCTGTCACATTCTGACCTCACGGGATTGCTTGGAACTCTCCCAATGACTTCCTTCTCCCATACCTCTGTTCCTGATAATCCCTCAGCCAGCAATAAGCTCCCCAGAAGCCCTTAACTATTGAGTGCATCGTCACCTTCCAAGACTCAAAAGGGCACCTTATCTGTGTTTCTTCCATGCTCTGTAGAAGACCCAGGCAGAGGGGCAATATAATTGTTTGTTTGAATCTAGTTTTGTCCCTTCTATATGTGTGTGGGTCCCAGTTCTTACTGTTTATACCATATTCAAAGGCTAGCTTGAGTGTTCATTTGGTAAATATGCATTGAACCAAGCCAAATAGGAAGCATTTGAGAGCTATTAGTAATTTAGTAAGGTGAGTCACCACTGAGTCCCTATAAAGTATTAATAAATGAGTCTGGCTCATAGTTTGATGTCTTTCGAGGTGACAAATGTTATGATAGACATAAAAAACTACCCTGTAGAAGATTCCAGGAAATAATATATTGGTGCTCTTCTTTTTTCCTCCCTGCAGAAGAGTCTTTGTTTACAGTGTCAGGAGTGAGGCTAAAGCCAGAAATGTGTGACCTTTTGGCCTCCTACCAGAAGAATCACTGCCCAGCCCAGTTTAGAAAATGCTGGTGAAAAGAAGGAGTGAGGTCATCAATATCCTTCCAGGTAAGTGGTCCCAAAAGTGAGAATCCTTATGGACAGAATAGAAAAGTTATTGCTGCTAGGTAGTTAGAACACTCTTTACCAGTTCAGAGCACCTCTGTTCAGGGTCTAGCTCTTTATCTCCAGTTCTGGGGACAAGCAGCCTAGCTCCTTAGAACTCCATTTCCTAGGTTGAGGAAAAGGAAAATAATGTGTCTCACTTGTGTCTACCACTCCCAAAGGTGTGATAGGACTCCAAGGACAGAACTTACAGATCATTGTGAGACCATCATCCCACACAGGTGAAACAAAGCAATAGAGCTGACACTGTTTTCCCTTTATTAGGTAGTTCTCTCTGTCAGCTGACAAGATAAAATCACAGGAAGGGGCAAGCAGCACCCCTTGGGCTGCTTGCCTGAGTTGGGTGGGGGCTTCCTAGAATGCACACTATTCATTGCTGAAATTGGCTCAGTCTTCAATAAGCCAGGATATTTGGTCACCTCGGTGGTACAAATTACCTTCCAAGGTAATTTTGAGGAGGAAGAGCTTCTGTAGAGGATTTTCCCAAACCTACTATACTCTAAAAGAAGAAGCTGTGTTAGCACGCATGGAAAACCAGGTGAAACAACCGCAAAAGCCACCATAATGCAGAAGACCTAGATGTCACATGAACACTTCCCATACAGGCCCTCTGTGATAGGTAAAGGGGTAGAACCCATGTGCAGGACCAGCCAGCCCTTAGGGGACCCTAGCTGGATCCCAAACCACAGACACTCTACTGTGACACTTGGCACAACATGGCATGCTCCCTCACAGAACTTTCAGGCCTAGCCTTGGCATATGCTCTATACACATTCCCAGTGTCACTCACAGGGCAGGAGCCAGCTCTTTGGATTTCTCTTTTTCTTTCTTTTTCTCTTGGCTCTCTATCTTTGTCACTATACATATCAAAGATGGCTGCTTTCTGGCTCATCTACAATATGACTTCAAAGAACAGGAAAATATAGGATTGCAGTTGTTCCCCAGAGCATTTTATGAAATATCCAAATTTATATTTTGACAATATACAATTGGCAATACAATAATATGATATTCTCTAAGCACAATATTTTATAGAGCAGAGTTTTTGCTGTGTAATTATTGCCATTTCTAATCAACTACTCTTAAGAGAAAAAAGAACTTTTACTATAGTCTAAAAATGTAAGGGTTTGCCCTTTATAAAATTATCAAGGATCCTAACAAAATAGGTCTCAGGTCATGGTAATTCATAAGCATTATTTCTATTGTTGCTGTTATGGTTTGTTTTTTTGTTTGCTTGTTTGTTTGTTTTTTGTCCTACTTAGCATCCAGGAAGTAGGGAGAACCTTGCTTTTCTGTCTACAATGACCTTTGACAAAGAATTGTTACCTGTAGACATATATTGGTGATGAAAGAACAGTTAAGTGACATGCGCCAAGCTTGGTGCCTGTGCAGCAAATTGAAGGAGGCAGGAGACAGCTTTAGCCTCCATTGGAGTAATCTTGTGATGTCCCTAGGCCTCAATACTAACATAAGGAGATAAAACCAGTAGGAGATGAACCACAAGAAGGAAATTGCTAGCACAATTAAACTGTTTAATAAATGTCTTGGGATCCACAAAAAAAATCTCAGAGTGCTAGAGTTAAAGAGAGACTGAAAACTGTAATCACACAGACACTAGAGGCCTGTAAATCTTTTCTACTGAATTGAATTTATGTTAAAATATTCATTTCTCAGGAGCGTAAAAACATAAATTGGGGTATTAGGACTTGGTAAATGGCAGCAGTTCCTCAAAATTAGGACTCATGATAAAGCCTCTAAAGTCAGTTTCAGACATGAGGAAAAAATGTACACTGGTGTGCACAACAGAAATAGAGAAGAACTAAAATTTTCTGGATGAATAGCATGTGTCAGGCACAGCCATAGGCACTTTTTGCATATTGTTTCAAAGATTGGTATGTTTTGAACAGTGAGTTGTGGTGAATTACAGCTGTGCTTTGTACACTTGGAGGTAGATTTTTACTTATTTAGTTATTTAAGAAATGCTGGGCATTGAATGTAGGACCTTGTGCATGCTAGGTGATCCCTCAACCACTGAGTTACTCCACAAGCTTGGGATTTTTTTTTTTTAAACTTTCTCAGTTCCTGTTAGCAGAGATAAAATACTCTGTCTCTTATGCTCTGTCACCCTTTCTATCAGTGTGTACAATTCCACAAACAAGTCTATTTTTTTCATTTTATTTATTTTTATTCCCTTCCAGGACCACATTCGTGCTGTTTCAGTTTTCATTCGCTGCAGCTTACTATGAAGCTTCGGATCTAACACCACATGTACCAGAGGTTAAATATACTATCACCTCTAACCTGGAATATTTTCAATATGATGTTCAAGACACTAATACATAATACTTGAAAAAAGTCAACGCAAGGCTATTGTTGCTGCCTAGAATTTAACAGTGACTGGCTCAAATATTGCAAATAACCTGAGAAGAGGACTTGTGAACAATTGCATCCATCTTGATAGAGAGATCTCTGCACCACGAGATGGATTTCCCAACAGGAGAGATGGGAGACTGATAATTGAAGGACTTTGAAGACAGAGTTGGTTCTTACAGAGGCCTGTTGCTCTTGCATTCACTTACAATTTTCCCCAACAAAAGAACTTCTGTAGCAAGGAGAGGATTAATCTAAAGTTTAGAAAATCTAAAGAAGATGGTCAAAAGGACTTGCTTAAGACTATTTCTTATGATTTCCTAGGGGGTACTTCTTCACTAAATGGATTTTTAGAATACATTACCACCCCATCCTGTCTAGGTTTTAGGAGTTGAGATTGAGCTGCTGGTTAGAATTAAATTTCAGCCTGTCTCCTTCTACTGAGTCCTAATTGTGGGAATAGCAAAAGGGATAAGGAACCTAAGCTTCCATTTGATGATGCAGACACTGAATAGACAGATAAAAGCAAAGAATTCCAAAGATGTAATTCAAGCCCTGTTGCACCATCAGACACACATGTGTGCACACACACAACCCTCAAGAGAAAAGGGAGAACTGTCTGTGCCATTGTCTACAATGACTCTTTCTGAAAGAAGCCAAGGAAACTCAAATTACTTCTGTCAAGGGATTATCTCAGGAAATGTAGTAGCTTAGAGACCTCTACATATCCTTTAGAAGCACAAAAGGAACCAATTAAGAGAGAATTAAAAAATAGTAACTATCCACCCAGTGTCTCAGTGAGAAGAAGGAAAGACACATACAGACAGTCCAAAGAAGTCTGCCTTCATGAGTATTGATAAGGCATGGGACAAAGACTTCCCAGATGTCCCTGAAAGATGAAACAGTGGGCTGAATGCAGGTAGATAAGTGCGCTCAGAGAACAATGGCTATTCAACCTGGAGAACAACTGAAAGTGCTGTGTACAGGATTTAGATTGAGTCCCGTTGTGATTCAATATTTGTTCTGATTTCAAAACTGCTTGAATAAAACCAAAGAAGGTGCACAACTTAGTCATACAACTACTTAAAAAATTATGATTGTTATTAATTTATCACTTGCACATTGTGAAAGAGGAAATAAAGGCTTGACCAAGTTAACTCCTCAGTGGTATTGTGCTAGAGTTCAAATGAAAAGCTCTGTGATCTTTGCAGTAAACTAATACACACCCACCAGATTTGTAGGATACACAACTCTTGAAGAGGCAACTGATATTTATCTTTGGATCATAATTCAAAGAATTACGACCTGGCTAGAAACTAATGATCCACAAGCCAGAGAAATAATTATTTTTATCAAATTTTATCTGATTTTAAATCTTACAAGTTGATCTTAAAATATCTACAACTTAAGTAAGGCTGAGACTTAGTAGAAATTGGAAATTTTAAGTACAACATGAATTAATAGCAGAATATCACTGTCCCCAAAAGATAATGCTAACACTTCCCCTCTACATAAATGAAGAACTAAGATCATGTCTCAGAGGAGAACAGCTTACTCTTTACATTTAAATGATTACATTCAGCTCCACACATCGTATTTTAAAAGAAACATCATGTTGAAATAAATATTGATTGTAGACCTATTAGTTTGTCGGTCTAATCCTCCTTAATCCTCTTAACGAGACTCCAACATCAGTGCGGTGAGTCCCCATTTCACAGGGAACTCTAAGAAGCCATGTAAGAGGCTAAGATTTGATGCGCACACTCTGGCCCTAAAGTCTGCTCTCCCCAGCCTGTCTCTACCTCTGCATGCTCAGAAGATGGTTACCAGAAGAGATGACCTGTGGGCCGAGACATAGGGAAGAAGAGCTGCAGAAAGGGAAAACCTTGGGGTCAGACATCCTCTTTTCAGAACACTAAGGGCTGTCACCCTCTTCTGGATAGCCACAGAGCGAGGACAGATTGCAATCTCCAGGGTGCTAATTCTGATGCAGCAGCAACATTCAAGATGAAACAACAGTAGACTGACATCCCACACAGTAGTAGACATCCTCTGCCTCCCAAAATATAGAGAGCTACAGAAGGGATTCCAGGATCAGAGGTTAGAAGGGCTTACCTCTAACATCCCATCTAATAACAAGGTTTCCTGATAGTGACTTTTGGACAGGCTATACTTGGAATAATTCTGGTAAGATCCTATTATTGCAAGGATAGATTCTTTTTTTTTTTTTTTTTAATGATATTGGGGATCGAACTCAGGTCCTTGTGCTTGTGAGGCAGGCGCCGAAACACTGAGCTAAATCTCCAGCCCAATTCATTTTATTTTTTTATCTAAGGGCTTTTCAAAAATCTGACAAAATTAACTTCTTTATAACAGAAGATAAATTATGCTCAAATTTCCTTTTTATTTTCTCCTTCATTTAATGGCTTTGCCTATTCAAAACCTTAATAAAGCTTGTATATGTTTCTAAAATATCATTCAAATCTTCATTCCCCAATTTTATACAATGAGCACTCCATTGTTTCACCTGCTCTAGTCTGGGTGTGGTTCATCCCCCAAAGTCCATGTGCTGAACTCCTCCTCCTCCTCCACCAGTCTGCAGCTGCAAGCCAGTGGCCCTTTCTCCCTAGCCATGTTCTATTTGTTCTTGTTCTTTTTTCCATACATGGTGTGCCAATGCTTTATGTCTATTGTGTATTTTCTGTCTTCCCCTGTAAAAAATACACCCTAAAGGAACAAGGATTACGATGTGTTCTACTCAGTAATGTATGCCAAACACCTGAAATTGTGCACAGTCATGCTTACAGAGATTTTGTGGAAAAAAATAAAGAAATGAATGAATTTGTGAAGTTTCAGAGATTGAAGGAAACAAGATTAAAAGTGTGTATAGGCCTGGGAAAGGACAAGTGATATGTGTTCTCAGAGAAAGAAGAAAAAGAAAAGTGCACTTATAAAATTATCAAAAAGCCACTGAGTGGCTGTGCAGAATCAGGAGCCAGATTGCTTTTGTTCATCTCTGGCTTCTGGCTTCTAACCATACGACCTCAGGCAAAACACTTCTCTCCACTTTCACTTACTTCTTGGTAAGACACAGATAATAACAGCATCTAACTCCGGGAGTTGTTTGTGTGGATTGAAGGAGTTAACGCATTTAAAGTATCTAAAGCAGTGACTGGAGCACAGTAAGCACTCTAAAAATCAACCGGTATTGACGGTGGTGGTGGTAGACATAGCAAAGCAAAAGAAAAAAAAGGAACAGAGGAGTTAAACGTGCCAAAGACCATGGGGTTTCTTCTGGCCAAGAAAGGTAGGATGATAATAAGAAATCAAGTTAAGTTCCAGAGTTAGATTGAGTTTCTGGTTGGTGTGGAATGGCTCAGGACACCCAGCTCAACTTCTCTTTGTAGCTCAAGGGAGCTGCTAGTTATGGTTGCAGGCACTTTATAATGAGGTGTACTTGGGGCTCACTGACCTCCTGCTTTAATGAGCAGGTTCAAATCTGAGGATATGTGCTTCAAAATATAAACACTCTTCCTTATAGAAAAATTACAATTTTTACAAATTTATAAAATATAAAACTGGCAATTTTTTCCACCCTGAGATCTTTTGGGTTTTTTAGATTTGTAGTATTTTGTAATTTATTATGTTTAAGTAATGTTTGGGACATGATCTAGGAGATTTGAGGCCAGGAGACACAAAACACCAAGCTAACAGCACTAACAGAGACCATGACAATGGTTGTGATGGGCCACACATCTCTGGAAAAAACAATTCCCCAAAAGGGTGGCTGAGGAAGGCAGATAAAAGACTGAAGTTGGGTCATGTGACAGGTGTCACTTGAGTAGGATACTGGGGGCTGGAGATAAAAGCCCACTCCTCCTGGTCACATGACCTAGCTTCATTACGATCCCAGTGGGGGGTTAGAGAGTCTGGATGCCATTTTTACTTATTTATTTATTTGTGTTTTTTCCCCTTATTCTGTGATAATGAGAAAATGTTTAAACTCCCATCTCTGTGTTTAAACATTTCTCCCTGCTGACAGCAGCGGGATACCCCTTGATCAACTGTCAGGTTGGAAAGTGCAATTTTTCTGGAAAGTAAACAGCATGTTAGCTGGTTGGAAATAATTTTCTGTTTATTGGTAGCTGTTAGTCTAGGAGTGATGGAGCCCTGTGACAGCACTTGTCAAGTGAAGAATAAGAAAAGAGTTTGGAAATACTTTCAAGACATAGCCCTGACGATAGACCCTTCCTATTTTTTTTTAATAGAAATATACTCGTAAAAAGTTAAAGTAAAATGGGCAAAAAAAACAAAAAAAACTTTTCCAGTATTACCAACTCTTGGAGTTCTTGTGGCAAAACTGATACAAAAATCTATGAATGCTGGAATCAGAGGGTCCACAGTCACTTGATCCATTTATTATACCATGAGAAACTGAGGCTCCCACAAATACCTGGACTCATCTCAAAAGTAAGAGGAAAACAACAACTATCACCATAACAAAGAAATGAAGATTTTGTAAAATTTGTGTGTGAAGATCAATGGAAAAAATGATAGAGGCAGTTTAAAACTTTTGATGTAAGCATATGTAACAATGTTTAATGATGTATTATCTTTTTGTAGTAGCTAAAAAGATATTATGGTAGTCTTTCACTGATATTAAACATATCATCAGGAAAATGTTATTAATAGAAGTAACATTTTAAAACTATAGATAGTCATAAGTCTGTGCCTATATGTCAACAACACTTGCTGTCTTTCACTGAGATCATATTGTAATGACATTTTGCTTTCTTTTCCAGAATCAGCCAAGCTCCTATAGTTCATGTTCTATGTGGATAATGTCGGAATCATATATGCATGAAAAGAAGCCAACCAGATTTAGGGTCAATAATACCTATTTTATGGAACAAGTGAGAAAATCCATGGTGTAACACCCCACCGTGGTGCCTGGCACAGAAAAGGCATTAAATTAAAAATTATAATAAGTAAAGCTAACTGAAAAAAATAATTAACCAAATGACATTTTCATTCATACAACTGTCTCTCCCTTCAGAGTACAAACTCCTCAAAGGCAGAAACTGTCTTATTTATCTGCCTGTTCCCTGGGGTGGAACATAGTCAGCATTCACTAATTAATTCAGTTCTCACTCAATGAGCATTTATGTACTAAGTTAATGAATAAAATGGAAAATATTTGGGTTAAAATGGTGGACTGTTGTTTGAGACTTAAAGAGACTCACACACTTGCCCATCTTATAAGAATCACACACTTGGTGGCTGGAAGGAGTTGTAGATATCATCTTCAAAGATCCCCAATCCTAGGGGAGGAAATAAGACAACTAACCCAGAAATCCATTTTAATTTTCGCACCGAATGAAGTATTTCTGGGTTAATACAGCTGAGTAATGCTGGCAAAGTAAGAAAGCAAGCCCATATCTGTAAAAGTTGGTCCTAAGAGTGACTGGTGTGGCAGGCGTGACTTAACTAGGAAGTGCCTGGTTTTCATGTGGTGAAGGAAAGAGACATGGAGAAGAATTTTAGCGGGGAAAACCCTGGAGGCACTTTTGAGTATTGTCAATTCCAGATAAGATAGCTCCTCTCCTGGGAAATAGAGCACCATCTATCCAACGTGCACTGAAATTCCCATTGCTGGGCCCTTTCACAAGGAGGCGCAGGGCATGACTTGGGTCATTTAACGGGTGTTATTCAAGCAGAAACAAAGAAAATCAATGTGGCAGTGTAACTGTGTAAATTAGTCTCTCACTCTCTCTCTCTGTCTCTCTCTCTCTCTTTATTTTTTAAAAGCATTAACCATTTTATTTGATATTTTTAGATGGTTACTAAGATTTTCCATCTTCTTAAAAAAATAACTGGCAAAACTATTATGGGAGTATTCAGAAAGAAAGATGAAATTTTATGTAAACAGTATATAAGAGTAAGAGCCTCATGCTTCTATTTGTACTGGTTCGATTTTTCTCATCACAACTGTTTTGTTGCAGAGTCGTTGCCATTTATGTTTTCCTGTTTTTACCATCCCTTAAATTTATTTTTAATTTTTTTTATTTTACCAGTACATGTTTGCATTAGTTCATGAAGTTTACAGTCATCTTAGGGCGTGGTTACATGTACATACCACAACTTGTTTCTTTTTATTTTTACTCCCTTTCCCCTTCTATTCCATCCCTCCTCCTTTCCAGTGTCCCTATCCCATTTTTCATTCTGGCTGATGTTAATCTTAACTCATGCTATGGCTAGTATATAATGTTGACATTAATTGAGATCATTAGGTTCCTGTACACGGCATATCTTTATTCTACCTATTTCTCCTTCCCCTTCCCCTCTTCCTTACTCCTCACACTTTTTCCTTTGGACCAGTTTCCTATTTCATGAGATAACACCCCCTTGTCCCCTTCTACCCATCCTTTACCATTCTCTTGGTTTTTACTTTGCCTCACTCAAATGAGAGATATGATATGGTATTTAAGCTTGTGTGTCTGGTTTATTTCACTCAACATTATATTTCCCAGTGCATCCTTTGTCCTACAAATGTCTCAAATCTATCATTCTTTATAGCAGAGTAGTATTCCATTACATATAGATACCACACTTTTCTTTATCCAGTCATCTGTTGAGAGGCATACAGGCTGTTTCCAGGATTTAGCTATTAGGAGTTGTGCTGCTATAAACATTGATGTGAATGTATCTCTGCAGTATGATAATTTAAGCTCTTTGGGGTAGATACCTACCTAGCAGGAAGATCACTGGGTCGTATGGAATTTCTACTTTCATTTCTTTGAAAAATCTTCATACTGATTTTCATAAGGTTGTATTAATTTACATTCCTACAAACAATGAAAGAAGGTTCTTTTTTCACCACAGCCATGCCAGCATTTGTTATTGTTTGATTTCCTAATCATTGCCATTCTTTTGGGTGTAAAATGGAATCTTAGTGTTGTTTTGATTTGCATCTTTCTAATGACCAGAGAGGTTGAGAGTATATATGTATGTATTTATTGATGTGTATATATATATATCCACACAAATTTTCAGTTTTGTTTTGTTGTTTTTTTGAGACAGGGTCTCCTTGTATGGTTTAGGTTGGCCTTGAACTCACAATGTATTCTGGGCTAGCCTTGAATTCATGGCAATCCTCCTGCCTCACCCTCCCAAGTGCCAGGATTACAGGCATGCACTACCACTCCCAGCTAAGTTTTCATTTTTTTTTGAGAAAATTTATTGTTATATAGCTC